GGGATTCGAACCCGCCACCTTAGGTGTACGTGGCTGGCGCCTTAGCTGGTTGAGCTATAGGCGCTGAGCCCGTAGGGATTTTTTAAAGAAACATCCATACTGTTTGCCATAATGGCTGTACTAATTTACATTTCCACCAACGCTGTGCAAGTGTTCCTTTTGTCTGCCTGTTTGCCAACATTTGTTTTCTTTTGAATTTGATAATAGCCTTTCTGATTAGAATGAAGTGGTATTTCATTCTGATTTTGATTGGCATTTCCCTGCTGATGAGTGATGCTGAACAGTTTTTCATATACCTGTTAGCCATTTAGTATGTCCTTTGAAAAATGTCTATTAAAGTAATTTACCCTTTTTTGTTTGCTTTTGCTGTTAATTTTCTTACATATTCTTGATATCAACTCCTTGTTAGATGTATAATTTGCACAAATTTTCTCCTATTCCATAGGTTTGTCTCTTCAGTCTGTTAATTGTTTCCTTTGCTGTGCAAAAGCTTTTTAGCTTGATGTAATCTTATTTGTCTATTTATGCTTTTGTTGTGTGTGCTTTGAGGTCTCACTTTAGAAAATCCTTGCCTAGCCCAATGTTATGAGGTGTTTCCCCTGTGTTTTCTTCTTGTAGTTTCATAGTTTCAAGTTTTACAGTTAAGTCTTTAATACCTTTTGAATTTTTGTTTGTTTCTGGTCTTATTCTTGGGCATGTGGTTATCCAATTTTCCTAGCATGATTTGTTGAAAATCAATTGGCTATAGCTATGTGAACTTATTCCTTTTTTTTTTTTTTTTTTGAGACAGCGTTCTCTATTCTGTTCCTTTGATCTGTGTGTCTGTTTTTATGCCACTATCATGTTGTTTTGGTTACTATAGCTTTGTGGTATATTTTGAAGTCTAGTGGTATGATACATTCAGCTTTATTCTTTTTGCTCTGGATTGCTTTGGCTATTTGGTGTCTTTGTAGTTCCATATGAATTTTAGGATTTTTTTTTCTATTTCTGAGAAGAATGGAATTGGTATTTTGATAGGGATTGCATTGAATCTGTAGATCACTTTGGGTAGTACTTTGGGTAGTACGAATATTTTAACAGCATTGATTCTTCCAATCCATGAACATGGGATATCTTTCCATTTATTTATTTATTTATTTATTTTTTGAAACCAAATCTCGAGCTGTTGTCCTGGGTAGAATGCTGTGGCGTCACAGATCACAGCAACCTCCAACTCTTGGGCTTAAGTGATTCTCTTGCCTCAGCCTCCGAAGAGGCTGGGACCACAGGCGCCAACCACAATGCATGGCTATTTTTTTTTTGTTATAATTGTCATTGTTCTTTAGCAGGCCCTAGGCCGGGTTCAAACCCACCAGCCCTGGTGTATGTGGCCATTGCCCTAGCCACTGAGCCCTGTTTTTAATCTTAAGAAAAGCTGCTTTCCCCTATTCAGTATATTAGTGGTGTGTTTGTCATAGGAAAGTCCTCATTCTAAACAATGTTAGCATTCCACAGGGAAGCACTAGAGAACATAGGGAAGGGGCTGGATAGGAGAAGCAGTGGTTATGAGATATAAACCAACTATGGAGCACTGACTCTTCTCTTTGGGGGATTGGGTTATTTGGGACTGCAGTGTTCTTTTATATAGCAAAATGCAAGAGCCTGGAGCTGTGCTGGATGTGGTCAGTGCCTGGCTCCAAGACCCAGACAACCAGGACCTTCCAGAATATGAAGCCTTGGCAGAACTTCACCTACAACGGGTACTGCTGCCTCTAGGACACTTTTCAGAGGCTGAGGAGCTCGTGGTGGGCTCTGTAGCCTTTGGTGAGGAGAAGCAGCTGGACATGCTCCAGGCCATTCACACAGCAAGGCAACATCAGAAACAAGAACACTCAGGCTCTGAGGAGGCCCAGGAGGTAAACCAGGAAGGTAGGACATTATCCCCACGTGGTCTCTCTAGAGTTGTGGGCTTTCCCTTCCCCTCAGGGTGCATCATGGCATTCCTGGGAGTTTGGGAGCAATCCTTTGTATGAGTAACTCTCAAATCACAGAATAGGAAGCCTATTGAATTGCTCAACAAAGCAAAGCCTAGACCTCTGAAGTTGCAGCTTAGGCTACAATATAAAGAATACTATGAAATAATGATACCATTGATAAAGAAACCAAATATGCAAGTTTACCCAGCTAATATCTGTTGTCTGTCAGAGTCCTGTCCTAAGGAGTGGTAATCCAGTGATGTGATCTGTTCTTAAACATTTTGAAGCTTTTGGAATTCCCTTTAGAACTACTTTATGAGCTATGTGAGAAAATCATTGTCATTTCCTTTTGCCCAACTCTTAAGAGCAAACTCAGAGTTCAGAATCTGGGAAGCTGATTTCCCCGATTTCCCTAAAGTTGTCTTCTATCTCCCTGGCCAGGTGTCACTCACAAGTTTGTGTCACTACCGATGTTGGTTCACCAGCTTTGGGACTCTGCAGTGAGCCATTTCTTTTCTCTGCCCTTCAAAAAGAGCCTCCTGGCCGCCTTGATCCTGTGTCTCTTGGTGGTGAGGTTTGATCCAGGTGAGTGATAGAGCCTGCCTTCCATCTCACCTCTCCTGGGGAAGGGGTCCTTGACAGGGCTGGGTCTCTTCCCACCAGAGGGCCCTGCTAGGGATGGAGGTTCCTCCTATAATTTCTCCCCATGAGTCTCTCCTACAGGGCAGAATGATTGCACCTAAGCAAGAATTAGCCCTACCTCCAAGGAGAGACCAATCCTAGAGTTCACAAGAGCCACCTGGGAAGTCTTTTCTACCCTTTTGACCCTGAACACGGGCTGACTCATTTAGTCATGGGCTTTTTCTAGGGGTGATCTTAACTTTCTGAAAGTTTTTTTAAAACTTCTCATTATCATAATATCTGAAAAAGTTGAATTAAGTGTTAATGTCTAATTATTAATTCAAAACATACTAAATTGTCAGTGAAATACACATTTTAGAAATGTGGAAAATAGAGAAAAATATAAGGAATAATACAGAAATCCACTGTTGTAATTGTTATATTTTGCCTCTTTCTCTGGATGTCGATACTGTAGGCCATTGCCTGTCATAAATATGCTTTAGTGGCTTTAAATGGCTAAATATTTCAATATGCGGAAACTTCCGTAATTGATTTAACCTTTTGACTATTGAACGTTTTGACTAGTCTGTATTCTGGCTCACTGTGAAGTAGAAATGAGCTCCGTAGGTGGTATTTGGGAACAACCCTGCTTATTTCCTAAGGATTAATTCCTCAGGTACATAAGCAGTGGGCCAGGATTAGGTCCTTACTCTTTTAGGTTTTTCTTAATGTTTTTTACTCTATGTGATTTATGATCTAATCTCTGTTTCTCATAAATTTAGACTTAGAATAGAATTATATAACTTTCTATAACTTTCAAAATTGAAGGGAAAACCAGATACCCTTATTCTAGTCCCTTCATTTTCTTTCTTTTTTTTTTTTTGAGACAGAGCCTCAAGATGTCCCCCTGGGTAGAGTGCTGTGGCATCACAGCTCACAGAAATCTCCAACTCCTGGGCTCAAGTGAGTCTCCTGCCTCAGCCTCCCAAGTAGCTGGGACCACAGGTGCACACCACAACGCCTGGCTATTTTTTGGTCATGTTGTTTTGACGGGCCCGGGCTGGATTTGAACCCGCCATCTTAGGTGTATGTGGCTGGCGCCTTAGTCACCTGAGCCAGAGGCACGGAGTCCATTTTCTTTCTTTTTTCTTTTTCTTTCTTTCTTTCTTCTTTTTTTTTTTTTGGTTGAGGAACCTAAGAACCAGAGAGGTGACTAGCGTAGGTCACACAGTGATTTGTCTATTTTCAAAGTGGTCACCTTTTTTTTTTTTTTTTTTTTTAGACAGAGTTTTACTATGTCACCCTCAGTAGAGGGCTATGGTGGTGACACAGCTCACAGCAACCTCCAACTCTTGGGCTTAAGTGATTCTCTTGCCTCAGCCTCC